CGTTTCTTTGTAGGTGTAAATTCTGTAGTTTGTTCATTTAAATTAGAAGTCGTTTGCCCCTGTCCGTCGTAATGTTGATATCCTTCAAGCCCATAAACACGAGGACAGATTGACGAGAAGTGAGTGTCAAGTTTACAAGCAGGAATCTGACATGGTTGAATAAACTGGCACTGTTCATATTTATAAGGTGGTTTACCAGATATACAGTTATCATGTCCACATCGATGACATATACCATTCTTATTCATGATTTCAAATTTCTCAAGCTGTGAAAGTGTCTTAAATTTATGACACCCTTTCAGATAATGATTTGAGAATTCTGGGTGAAGTGGGCATTTCAGAGGTTTAGAGTTGTCTGTTTTCGCGGTGTCTCTATCCCTGTTACCACTCTTATCTCGGCTTATACTTGGCTGTTGACTACTAGTATTACGGTTATAACCAGGGGACATCGTTGAGAAATTCACAGATTTATTAGACCTCTGAAATTTCTGATAATTATTAGGTGATCTACTATCACGTGATTCGATAAATGGACCTTTAGCTTTCTTAAGAAGAATTAATTGCGAGTGTAACCACTTTATGAGGCTATTCAGAGAATCGTCTATGTTGTCATCACGAACCTTCTGAAGGAATAAAATACGATGTTCTTCTGGTAATTTGCGTCGTATTTGGGTAACCAAAACTCTTCCACTAAGATCTGCGCTTTTGCCTAAAGAGTCCATTTGAGTTTCAAAGTTCTGAAGAAATTCTACAAATTTTTCCATTCCACTAAGATTGGTTCTACCTTTGACCTCATAAGAGTTGATATTCTCTAAATCTGTCATAAGAGCTTCTACAACTTGATCTTCATCACCATACGCTTCATCTAATATCTCCCAAGCTCGTTTAATACCACTACAAGCTTTAATCTTATTTCTCTCTCGTGAACGTTCCATAGATTCTGTCAGTTGATAAAAACATTCTATATCATTGAGACTCTGCGAATAATGTCGAAATTGTTCCTTAAATCTTCTGTAATCTCGTATGTCACCAGAAAACGTTGGAAATTTCAATTTAGGCATCCTAGCATGTACAGGTTGCGGGGTTGATGTAGGCCTTACTTCTTGCTGGGTATGTTTCTCATCCTCGATTAATATTAAACGTTTAGTTTCGCGAATCAACTTGTGAACAAGCGGAATAGCGCTGTTGCTTACATCTGAAAAATGATTTTCTTCGGCATTTGCAATTTCCTGTTCGGCCTTATCCATATCATGTTCATTACTGAAATCGTCGGGCTTCAATTCAGCACACTTGAGTCCAATCACTTGATCATTTGTCCACTGTAGAACATCTAAATTTTCTCTAATAAGATCGGCTAATAATTTATATTCTTCGTGAGGAATACCTTCGCCGGCGAGAAGGAGCGAATTTCCATCTTTCATAAGATAGGTAAGTTTCCTTTTAGCGTTTCCGCGAAGCATTTTAGCCTCTCGAATGGTGTTGGGTACTTCCATAGCTGATATGAAATTTCGGCTTGTCTTGTACGGTAAATATACGAATAACCACTTGCTTTTGTTTGTACTGAGTCACTGTAGTTGATAACAATAAACCAGCGGTGAAAAACAACTCACAGAATGACCAACGTAAACACACAAACTGAGTCACTGTAGTTGATAACAATAAACCAGCGGTGAAAAACAACTCACAGAATGACCAACGTAAACAATGTCAGTGCCGATTCATAAGTACGTTCAAATCAAGTACAACAACCATACAACGTTGCCGGATTTTCTTCACTAACAGATTGAAAAAGCTGTCATAAAATGCGATTTAAGACTAAATAAAACTTACTAGGTCCACATTGAAACAATAGAAATAATCAAAAACAAAAGTCATTCATTGAAACTTCTGATTATTCAAAATGTATTGAACATCATACATCAAATATTATTTTTCAATCGTGGCGAATCCAGCCTCAACTGTTGTGGCAACTGATCTACAAATTTTTTCACCAAAATAAAACGAAACGAAAAATTATAAATTGGTAAAATAAAATATTTTCAATAAATTAATGTTCATTCTAAGACAATATGTGTATATCTATTAATTTGAGTAAGTAAGTAAATTTTATTGCATAAAGACGACCACGGGAGAGACAGATGGTAAGTGAGCGAGATGCTGGCAGTTCAAATAAGACTTGACAGTGTAGAGATTGGGCTCATCTTTGCAGGTTTAGCAATATCTTCTATACTAATATTTGTGACTATCGTTTGTCTGTCTGTTCGGGGTTGGCGGCTACACTAGGTCTGCCCCGAGTCTGAAATTTGGGGTATAGGCGTAGCTCGGACCGGGGAGTAACATAGGCCAGGTGGCGTTAGTCTACCACTTACGGTTTCGGAGTTATGACCCCCGAGCGAAGCCGGGCATTCTTCTAGTTCTTGATATTAGTGACATCCTGTTATTAATATGGTCTTGTAAACCTGTATTAGTACTGTGTATAGTATTTTCGTTAATAAACCGGTTCTTGATCCAATTATTTGATATTCAATATGATAAAGGGGGTTGACAAGTTTAATTTTTCACTGCCTAAAGATACGTTATGGAAGATTAGATAAAGAGCTGGCATTTCTCACTATAATATTTTAAAAACTAGAAAATGTAAAGGGAATATGCTGAAAATTTCAGTCAAATTGCTCCATTTTGAACCGAGATATTAGCGCTGAATTTTAGGCCAAGTCTCGATCATCATTACTAAAGTTGGTACGATAAAAGACATTGTCTCGATTATCCATTTTTAATTAAATCATCAATGAGCGGTGAGCGGCAAATCAGATTCAAATCCAGAGAAAATCCGACATATAAGATGGCATCCAGAGTTGATTATGGTCTTTTCAAGTTAATTAATGTTTAATTAATAGTTTATATAACATTTCAGGCCCAAAGAAAAACCTGCAATAGGCAGATTTAGCTCTTGCATAATGTATGTTTAAAGGTCTAATAACATTTTATGTTTTATTAGTGGATTACCCGAATGTGATACCTGTTTACCGCCTGATCTTCCGCCTTAAAATCATTCAAACACACCAAAAGTATTTATGAAAAAGCGGAGAAATAGAAGCAGAAAGGGTTTGTCTATAAAATGAAGCGAACTAAAGTCAGTCTGTAGCGCTTAATGACCGCTTCCACCTAGGGTGATGTCGCAGACACTCGCAGTACACCATCCTGCAAATTTGTTTAAGATAAGGTGTTGTAGTCAAGGTTACCTAGTATCATTCTAACTATTTCAATATGTTAACAATAGGTGGTATATGATTGACCTCTAGTTTGTTTAGTCTTCTTATTGTAATAGTACTTTATATCATAATTATACACATCACAATAAACACCCACATCTCGTCTTCCTCATACACAAGAACAACATCCCAATTCTTACCAGAGGCGGATGTTACAAATTTAGGAAAGTCAATTTTACGGACATTCATGTGACATTCATGCGGCATATTTATTGACTGGAAGCTAAAGTATGTAATATGATTAGTTATTCCTTGTCCACCTATCAGATGTACGGGTAGTGATGTGCAGAGAGGGGATAGAGAGGAGGGGTCGGCCCCACGCATCAATTTCAGGGGAGAATCCAATCAAAAAAGTGACATTAAAATTTATTTTTTGTGAAATTGAAATTATCGCTGTTAACTTTGTTGTAGAAGTCACACTACTTAAATTAAAGGGTAATTAGGTAAGATTACATAAAGAGTTGACAAATTTCGCTGTTATAGTTTAAAAAAAAAGATAATAAAAACAGAATATGCTGAAAGTTTCAAATTGCCCCACTGGGATATTAGCGATTCGATTTTAGGCTAGCCTCGATCGTAATTACTACCGTTGGTACGATAATGTACGTCTCGTTTATCCATTTTTACGTTAAATCATCCATCCCAAAACGTATATAAATCCCTTAAATATCACCGGCTAACGATGGCATCGAGGGTTGATTATTGATATATATATTTAGAGAGAGAGAGAGAGAGGGACAGGGGAGGAAATCGGAAGACCCGGAGAAAACCCACGAGGTTTAACAGGCGACCCTACTCCTTGTCACGTACAACCGGGAAATCAAGCCACGTCAGTTGACCTGATGACAGAGAGAGAGAGAGAAATGGGGTTTAACGTCCACTCGACACAAACTAGGTCATTCCGGGACTAACATATGGTTTTAATTTTTTATTTCAATAATTCGCTTGCGCGTAGGGGTCTTTAGCAGTGGGAGGAAACCGGAGGACCCGGAGAAAACCCACGAGGTTGGACAGACGACCCTACTCCTTGCCACGTACAACCGGGGATTCGAAACCACGCCAGTTGACTCAATGACAGACTTCATGGTACAGCGCGCGCACGCTAACCATCCAGCCATCCACCCCCCCCCCCCGACTCGATGACAGACCTTATGGTACAACGCGCACACACTAACCATTCGGCCATCCAATCTCCCATGGTCTTGATAAATTAATTAATGTCTTATTAATAATTTAGATAACATTTAAAGATACATTATGGGAGATTAGATAAAGAGCTGGCAGTTCTCACTATAATAGTTAAAGAAATGTTGCCAGGCAACGAAACATACGCTCACAGCAGATAAATCGTCCGGGCAGTCAATAATATTATTGTTTATAAATATTGTAGTAAAATTATAATGACCGGGGTTGCTTCCATAGGGAGGCGTGTTTCTGAATATCAGTAATTTATGCAGACTTTATACGTACAAAGTGTGGCGATTTCAACGATAATCCACATTTCTCGAACGTGTTTGAACATAATGCTGGCGAAAGAGATAATCCAGAAATTAGAGGATATCAGTTCCCATGAAGACTGGATACGACTGAATAATCCGCGCGTAATCAGGCCTACTTGCGAGCAAATCACTAAACTATCTATGCGAGGGTAATAGTTCAATGAAATATCATTTATTTTATTTATTTCATTTACTTCACCATCGACGACCTGTTGAGGGAAAGTAAAAGCCATATAATGCATTTATCTTGCTAATTATATTTTTGTATTTTAAGTATTTACTATTACATCATGTTACAGGTTATACATCAAAATGGTGACACCGGAAACAATAGTGAATTAAGTTCATATTCTTTAAAATCAACCAATTCATCAACATAACCGGAGTCGATCTAACAACTACTGTCCAAGCTACATATCGTTTGGATATCTTGGTATAAAAAGAAACAGATTGTTTTATCACCGGGCATTTCATTGTATAACATAGTAGATGAAATCAAAGAGTTAAACCCTTTTCACACAAGCACTACTATTTAGTGTCAGTTATGAACACGCCACCTTTAAGTGCCCGTGGGATGAATATACTTACTAGTTAATACACATTTAATTCTTTGTTATCAAAATTTATCGATTATCAAATTAGTTTTAGAGTTTTGTTCTGTCACTTTACCATTCATACTGGATTTTTCAATATATCCACCATTGTCAAAATTATTATCACCGCTTTTCTTCAGCTGGCCATTTTTGTGTGATCCGTTTTCTTTTTGATCCTCAATTTTACATTGTTCTTTGCGATTTCTACACTGATGATAAACGGAAACCCGAATAAAATACAACAGATAAACAAAGAGATGCATGATGGGAATTGCTATAAATGTGCTGATGATTGCCATTATGATTGTCTTGGTGGGTTTATCCCAGTTGAGTACAGAATACACGTACGGTTGATCCCTCATATTGGTACCATTGGCCGCATGGTAAACAGCCGTAAACACAGTGTAGATGATCCCATATATAACCGGTTGATAAAAATGTAGAATACGATTTGGTACAGCTGTTATAAACAGATTTAAAAACACGTAAACAGAATTGATTCCATGGACAGCTAGACTTACTGGATTAACACCTTTACTAGCTGAAATTTAACACAATTTTCTTTTTATTTTAGACGACGAATAATCAAGAACATGAACGAAATGAACAATTTAATTATTTTTCTAAACGATAATAGCATTTGTTTAAAGATTCGCCCATTTTTCTTTTAAGAATGCCTGATGACTCAAAGCTTTGCATGGATTGTCTATAATTCGGTGTCGTCTATTAGGAGTGGTATAAAACAAAGCTCTTTGAGTATTCAAATATTATATTTTGATCTTTATGCTAACAGTTTGGATGAATTTCCAGACAAAGCCGTGTATTTGTATAGATTTGTATTGCATGCAGGTTACTAGATATTCGAGATAGATCTATTGCACAATGACCACATACCTTTAAAGATCATAGACCAGTACAATGCTGTTACAATGAAACTGGCTGTAGTGGCGATATTATACAAAATCCACAGTAGTTTCAAAAACCATGGCATGTCTTTATTTAAACCTGGAATTACAAACAAAATTCACATCCGTATAGATATAGATTAAAATTTTTATAGTACAGTATTATTTATGTATGGAAGTGGGTAATGGAAGTCAGCTCATATAATTCATGTGTATTGCAGTCAAATCCCTTTATCGCGAACCCGGGGAAATGTGTCGGTCCTGTCGAATTCCTTCAAAGATTTAGCCAAAACTGTTTGTATTACAAAAGGTGCATTTTTCAAATCGTATTAATACTACGTTAACCCCATATACACCCGTAAGAAAAACTTCCGATCAACGAAATGCCTGTGATTTCATTTCATCGTGTTACAATACCAGTTCTTAAATTAGGAAACCTACATCCCGCTATGAAAACTGTATTTACTTGTCTTCCATGTGCACCTTACACAATGCATCTTTAAAGGGACAATAACACTCTTGCTGACTTGAAAGCTCCATAAAATAAATAATATCTCTATCTAAGTACTAGATGTTTAAGTGTCCTACCTGTTGTGTAAATTATCCATTACATCATATTTTACTTGTCCAGAGGGTTCGAAAATATTTTTAAATCGAAGTTTCATTTGAAAAGGTTTACGTTAGACGTTTCAAACCATTATGTTGAATGTTTCAAAATTTTTAAATAAGGTGTGTTAAGATGAAATTTGTATCATCAATTAATTGAAATATTTTAAAATAGTACAATTTGTTGACCAGAATAAAGATTGGGACATATTATTCAGTTACAACAAGAGTGGTATTGAGCCTTTAAAGATAGATGGGTTTAATATATGATGTAACATTCACCGGGTAGACGATTCATAGATTATTTTTCTATTACTATTCTATTTTACAAACCACCTCTTTAACTCGTTCCATCAAAGCCCAAAGCTATTTCCTTTAGGCGGAAAATCTGCAGACTTTATTTTTAAATATTAGTAAAAATGGTGGCCTTTATGTAGATAAACATTTTTCTCTAATAGTTATGAATCTTTGTTTAAGGGCATTGAGCAATATGATGGACATACACCATATGTAAACACATTTGTTCTAATTTAGCATCATATCATGAATGTGCAATTGACAATGTAAACATTTGGCACAGGAAGCAATTACTGCCGCAAGCTCCTAAATCCGATCTTAAAGACAAGTCACATTACTACCACAAGAAAAATCATTTAGCGGAGGTGTTTCATATGTGTGTTGTTTTTTTTTCTTTTTGGAAAGGGTTACATCCAATTATCGTTTCTTTTTAACCTAATGATCAGCTTCTCATTTTGTTAAGTCTGCCAGAAAGAAACGTGTTGAAAGAGTTGCAACTTTTAACTAACAAATATCGTTATCTTCACTTAAAGAAAAAAAAAATTGGATTGAAGTTTTTTGCTTTGATGTAAGTGTGAAAAATGTTAACTTTTAAAAGATTGAATGAGAACAGCTAACAACCAAGAGGAAAAGAGCGGAGATTTTTTTTTTGGAAATGTAAAATTTTTTTTTTTTTTTCATCAATTTTCCACCTGAAAGTTATCAAAATTTTGATTAAAATATAAAGGAGTTACACACAAGTTAAGCACAGCTACGTTGGAACATGGCCTCTTATCTTTTATTTTAAAAAAAATCTATACTGTAAGCTTTTGATCTACTTTCAATGCATCTCAGCATCTGCAAAATAATTTGTGGTAGGTAGCGTAGGTTAATATATTTGGTTACTATTTTGAAATTTAAAATGTTCACCGATAATTTGACATTTGATTAGTAACATTGCTAGGTCGCAACGTTCAAGTTTTTTTGTTTCTTAACTTAACTGGAATTTAATTGACGCCAACGTGAAAGATGGTAGCATCTTTCCCTTTAAATGTAAATGATTACTTCATAATATGTATAAATGCAATATAGGTACACATGTAGGTATAATAAGGTGCAATATATATATATATAGGTAAAGATATGCGAAGAAGGAGAGCTCCTGATTAATACCATCAATGGTAGTTACAGATACATCCGTCTTATCAATATAAACCAGGTGGTGATATTATTTCAGATAACACCCCTTTAACTTCCACATTTATTTGAAGTTAGTGTGGATGAAACACGGCTATTTATTATTAACTGATTATCAACAGGTTGGGGGCTATAACGGGACTAGATTCCGGTGGTGGCAAAAATAGCCATAGAAAAAAATATAATAATACTATGGTAAAGAATTACAAAGATTGCATGTCTAGTGGGTAGCTGATTGTTGTCTAAAAGTTCTTATATTTACTTACCATGCTAAAATATCACCCAAATACTATACACAAATATGTTACCTGTTTGAAAGATAGGTTACTAGGCAATGAAATATACACCCACAGCAGCCAAATCATCCGGCAGTCGACAACAGTTGTCGCATATATATTCGTTATGGGGTAATGGAAGCATTTTCAAGACAATATAATACAGATTGGATGATAACTTTTGTCGTATGAGCGTCACAAGGTTCTACAAAGTGAAACAAGGGCCATAACTCTAGAACAAATTGACAATAATTGTTGAAATTCGATCGGCTTCTTCAATCTATTAATCTAAAAATGACCCCAAAGCAGTCAAAACTTGGCCCAAAGTACACAGGTAACACAAGAAATAACTATTGATGCACGATTTGTAGAAATTTTTGATATAGAAGGGTCTACAGGTTTGTACTTTTAGAGCACACATAAAATGGCAGTTATAATCCATATTGCAAAGACAGCACCTGTCCACTACTAGACGATCATATTATAGTTTGTTATAAAGGTTAACTCTTTCATAACGGCCGAATACCGCCGAGACATGATTCGCCACGGGGTTAGGCAAACAAGTTATACTAACTACCAGAATAGATGGTGAACAACCACAAAGGAATTATCAATGTTTTCAGAAATCAAACTTAGTTTCCGCTGTACATGTTGTATATAAAAATGTCAAATGTTAAGTAATCATTCTGACTGGGAGGAGTAATAATAAGCACTTCTGGAAACTATTTACATTCTATTTTAGGATGTTATAATGATGAAGACACATTTATCGTTCTGGGGGATTAGCCACTATCGATAAATCCAATCATTTCATATCACCAGATGGCGTTTTCATGTTCAAGGCTACTAATCAGCTGAAATAAGCGTTGGTTGGACTCAATCTGATCAAAACACAGTTTTTATTTCGGTCCGTTTTTTATAGTTCAGATTTTATTTATCCTCACTACAGTGGGATCTGGAAGCGGTTTTAAACAAACCGCGTATTGTTAGATGTGGCGGACAAGCCAATGAAATGGTATGTTTAGTTGACCTCTACTCAAGCTGTGCACGAAATTCTGGGAGTCACCTGTAGAGCGGCAATGAAATAAATAAAATCAAATTTAGGTATAATTAGTCTTAGTCATTCGGTGGATGCCAGACACGTATATATAGCGGAAGCTATCAGAAGTATAAAAACGAAACGAAATTTAGATCTGCGTTTTGATATGATAGGTTGCTCTTTGTTGTTTTATTAACATCTCTTGCACACATGCAAATTACAGTAGACCAGATGCAATATATCCTAAGTGTTTCATTATATACATTATCAATTTGAAATAGAATTTGTTTATTGAAAACTTGACAAATGAGCTAATAAATATACTCTGGCGATGAAATTTTGATCATGTGATTATTTTGAGTTGTAGACAATGTCTGATCGTGGAGCAAATGGAGTCAAGTAAATTAACACCACGGCTAAGGGTCTCTGAAGTACAAGCCAGTTTGACTGAAAGTTGCATATCAGGATAACTTTTGTTCAATATGCTGCTGTTGACCATGTCTTACGTTTGTTCAGTGTAATATATGTATGTATCTATTGTTCGTTACACGTGTCAAATGGTTAAAGTATCGTTTATATATTTGTCAGAGCCATGCTTTCTTATGACCAACAACGTTTGCTTTGTCTAAAAGACAGTGTACGTTTCATATATATTGTTTTATTTTGTCCATTCATCTCACATTACATGTATATACCACCGATTTTTGCATTTTAAAATTCGAGTCTGCACGTAAGGTTGAAATTACAGCTTATCCATAGTTGTTTCATCCTTTCCTACAACCAGTCTGGAATTTAATTATTTTTAAAAAGTAAAAACAATGAAACACCTAATACTTTTTCGGTGCTTCTTGTATTTGGCACCAGTGTCAGTTAAACCATGTGCGACATGTTTTAGCAATTATGGAACAAAACACTAATTAAAAGACATAGTTGACAGTTTTCACAATGACCATGTGTGAAACGTACTCTGTGATTATTCTCTATCTTTTTTCTAGGAACCCCAACTTCACACTCAAACAAACCCAACTCAATAAGTCTTATTTTAATTTATAACATCTTTCGTTATACTCCTTAAAATTAACACTACAGTTAAGTCAAGCAACATCTTTAAAGTAGCTAAGTCTCTTACTCAATATCATCCAAAGTCTTCGGCATGAATTATTTGTCAATTTAAATCAACATTGATGTTGTGGTCTTACCAGGAAAATCTGATATCCAGTATTAAAGACAAAATACCCTTGGTACATGAATCGTGTGTCATACTGCGTTTCAGCGCCATTTGTAACAAGAGACTCGAAGAACGAGACTAGACATATTCCACAAGTCATGTCAAACGGTGACGTCATATTCTTATCTGAAGAGCATGCGCAATAAATACCTCGGTGTAGACTGAAATATTCAGACGCAGAGATTGCCATTCGATTGAGACTTCTGGCGTATTTCGCCGAACATATCTGATTTGAAATTAGATTAAAAACGGAAACGATTGAATGTAAATCAGTTTATATACATTCATATTAGATTATTATATGCGTTGCGACCCATTTGTGTCAATTTCTAAATCCTTAATATTAGCGATGTAGCTCCTTTAAGGGGTTTCAATTCTCGACAATGAAAATCTGCTTTATCATTGGTAATAATGGTCGTAACCAACAGTACTGGCTTAAACCAGACTTAAAGAGAACATGATATACATAGTAACAAAATTTTAATTAGATTAGATCTTTAATATGCAATGATGAGTATGTCACAGTGATCCCATTTTAAGCTTGACAATAATTATGCAGATGGCACTTACCTTGAACGATATCTTTTCGCCATATCCGAACATAAATTAATATGATTGCTTCAACTATAGTTTCTACTGTCAACATAAAATAGGTCCAGTTAGTCAAATATATAAACCATTTCACTCGATTCTCCTCCGAGGACGCCCACTGGAAGTTTAGAACGCCGCTTGCGATTATCCAGCCAAAATGATACAACGGCCAGCATACTCTCCAGAGTATGTAGAGAGTTGGACATCCCCACTGAAAAAAAAAACCAAACAATAAAAATATAATCTCTATGTTGTTTTCTTATCGGTGTTTTTGCTTTATGTTTGCTTTTTTAAAAAAAAAAGCAATGAATAATATATTGTGTGTGAAATCGCTTTATTTAATGCCCGCTTCCTCCGAGGTGATAGCGCCGACAGTGGGTGAGGTCAGAACAAAACATTAGTGCTAGTGTTAGGGTTTGTGTCAGCAAAAGAGTTAACCTGAGCCCTTTAATTTGATATTCAGGTTAGAAAAAGGGTTGCACTTTGGAAAATATATTAAATTTTGTAATTGAAAATCATGGTCAATTTATATAACTAGTTTGTTCTATCTACCTTTAAGTACATTATAAGTAGATAATTATATGATTCATGTTAGACAAGCTGTTCAAACTTTAAGTTGTACTTAATTACTTACCCCAAAACATAACACTAACTCACTGTTTTAACTTCAACCAAATTTAAGTGAAGTGAATCAAACACTAGTGTTATTCCAAGGTTTCCCTAATCTCAGCTCATGGAAGTTTTTCTATTTTTTAACGTGGGTTCCAATAGGTCATTACCTCTACCACCCAGGGGTAACACTTTATCAAGGTCAAAAGCAAGATGTAAAGTGTTATCTAATTTTCTTAAAATGTTATTTTTTCGCCTAATATCATTATTCAATAATAAAATTCCTTCAAAATTTATAAAAAAAAAACATACACAAAATCTAAGGTTTCTTGGTGTCAATTCTTTAGAAAAAAAGTCAAGAAATTATCGAAGCAGGATAAGCGGAAGCCATGTTTGAATTAGTCTGGAGATCCTACCTTGTAATTTTATCCACAATTGAATGAAAATGAAACTGTAATTATCTCCCTTTTTGGCTTAACACTTCATTGGAGGTGAAAAGTCATAACTATTTACTCCAACACAACTTTTGACCTCACTCAATGTTAATAATTAAGAAAATGGCCCTTGTTATTGTCAACAATAATACAATGGTCTCGAACACTGAGACTCATATTGTCGACGCTTTCTCGACGGATATAGGATCTGGAGAGGCTTGTGTGTGGCATATGTCCATGAAATCATATTTTACTTACAACGTTTATGAAATTATTCCCCTCGAAGGGGTTTATCATATCGAAAGCATGTAACAATTTTATTATGTTACGTTTCGATTTAAATGCAATTTTAAATAATTTACTGACTAGAAGGTTTATGCCAAAGATAATCACTATCGTATAAAGTAATAGAGAGCTGCAATAACGCAATTTCCATAAACAATATTATGTATCTAAAACGTAAATGGGTGTTGATTCCTTAAAATATAAGTTATGTAAAAGTAAACGTATTACAGTGTCGAATTTAACATTTTGTATAGTGTTTCTGCTACTTTAGATCATAAATTAACCACTCGTGGGTATCTCGGTAGCTTAGTTATCGATGTCTTCGTCAAACCCTGGGCCTGAGATGCATAGAACATAATAATTGTGAAATGGTCTCAGGCTGAAATGAAATAGTCCCCGATATTTCCCCCGGGTCGATATTTGATAAAACAGACTACGATTTATACTTCCGCCGCTTTGAACGATAATTTGATACAATAGTCCTGCGCATAGATAAAAAAAATGGTCACCTACGATTATTGAATTTGCAAGCGCAACGTTGACATCATTGCGAGTCGTTTGTAGTTTAAACGCAATGAAGTATATAAATTATTAAACAATTTGTACCCAGTCGACCTGGTAATTGAATTTATTTCAGAACATATATCTTAGTCAAAACCTTGGCATTGTTTATTTGAACTTTTAGAAGTCTTGTAAGAATTAATGTAATTTTACTGATAGAAGAAACCATTATTTAGACAAACTGGTATTAAGTATGTCTTCACTCATAATAAAAGAAAGTTTAGTATTTGATTATTTTAAAGTTTTGTCTAAGTTACACGTCTGATTTGATTTAACTGTCTGCGATGTCGTTACGATGCCATTTTATCGCCTTTACAGATGATGATTTAAACATATTTGGCAACATTGGATGACGTAAAGATTATGAATGATGAACAATATTAACCGATTGACATTATTTACGTTAAGCCCAATATTCTCTATGCCTTCGTTGATCTTAAATAACTAACTTTGTTCAGAAAACACCTAAAACCCTAATATTCTAATAATTTCAACAATTGACTTTTTTTTTTAAATACTTATGTTTAAACCTATCTTTTTTGTATTTGTCTAGGAACTGTGAAGTGTCCATAAGCTAGTAAACCTATAACTTTCAGGCAGTTAAACCCCGAAATTTTAATTTATTACCTCTTGAACAATATAAATATGATTTAGAGTTATGACTTCAATATATCATGTATAAGATAAGTATATAATAAAATTACTGTATATTATACCAGATATTTAACTATTTTTATACGCCCATATTTTCGTGTCCGTCCGTCCACAATTTATTTGTATACACTCTACAGGTCACAATTTTTATTCGATTTAGACGAAACTTTAAATATAGGTCTATCTTCCAATTATATCGGTTCCTTTCGATATTGGCATAAATCGGATTCTAACTTCATGAATTATGTCCCCTGATTGTACGAAAAATCGCGTTTTTAGCTGTGGACACTCTACAGGTCACAATTTTCATCTGATTTTGATGAAACTTTAAATACATGTTTATAACCAAATGATCTTGGTTTTTTTTCGATATTTGCGCATATCGGATCGTAACTTCCTGAATTGTGGCCCCAGATTGTACGAGGTTACAATTATTATCCGATTTAAGAAAAAAACCTTCGAATATATCACCGTTACACTATAATGACGCTTGAGCTCGAATTTCGTGAAAATCGGACCAAATCTGCGGGACAAAATGACCGCCCCTCGTACGCAAATAGTGATCCGATTTTGATGAAGCTTGAAATACATGTTTATAACACGAAGATCTTGGTTCCTTTCGATATTCGTGCATATCGGATTGTACCTTCCTGAATTATGGCCCTTGATTGTACGAAAAATCGTGTTTTTACTTTGTGTCCCCTCTAGAGGTTACAATTTTTATCCGATTTCAAAAAAACGTTTGAATATATCACCGTTACACCCTAATGATAGTTTCATTCGAATTTCGTGAAAATCGGACCAAAACTGCCGAACAAAATGGCCATTCCTCAGACGCATATAGTGTAAATATATGGTATATCAAGGTTGTGGACCTTCTAGAGGCCACAATTTAGATCCCATTTTAATGAAACTTGAAATACATGTTTAGAACCCAAAGATCTTGGTTTTTTTTGACATTCGTGCATATCGGATTGTAACTTCCTGAATTATGGCCCTTGATTGCACGAAAATTCGCGTTTTTTAGCTTATGGTTCATCTAGAGTCACAATTTTTATCCGATTAAAAAAACCGTTTGAATATAATATCATTGTTACATACTAATAACGGCTGAGTTCGAATTTCGTGAAAAATGGGACCAAAACTGCCGGACAAATGGCCTCCCCTCGAATTCAAATAGTATAAGTATATGGTATATCAAAATTGTGGACCCACCAGAAATCACAATTTTGATGAAACTTGAAATATATCTTTATAACCCAAAGATCTTGGTTCCTGTCGATATTTGAGCATATCGGATCGTAACATCCTGAATTATGGCCCTTGATTGTACGAAAAATCGCTTTTTGTCTAGCTTGTTCTCTATCCACCTCTTTCCAAATGTGGGCGTACCTGCCTGGCAGCCACTGGTTATTATACTTTAAAAAATATCCAAGAATAAAATATTATTAGACTAACAGCGATCCCTTAGTTTGGACGAAACAAGATAATACGTATGGAAAATAATAAAATAATTTGAAATTAGAAAAATAAAATGTAATCAAGATGCGGTGGAAAACCCATATCCTTTGTATACCCTAGTAGCACATTAAAAGTCCCTTGACAGTTTGAAAGTGAAGTAAGAGAAGTTCATAGCACCGGTGTCTGGGCAAAAATGACCTGCATAGTACACTGCATAACATATAGTCGTCTTCATTATGCCTGATTGCACAGAAGAATAAGACGTTAAAGCCCATTATGTAAGAGCTGACTCCTTGCTATAATAGCTCAAAAATAAATAGTGTAAAAAGAAAATATTGAAAATTTTATTCAAACTACATCATTCTGAGCCAAGTTATATTTTTTGGTGTTTTGACAAGATGTGTGCATTGTGGTAACCAGGGCACTGGTATATCCGAGAATTAGCCTCGCTTTCCCATTTTTAGATTAAATTTTAAATGGCCGTTCTAATCTAGCTAAAATCTCGAATACCCGATGGTATCTAGAGTTGATCATGGTCTTGTTGTGTTAATAAATGCCTAATTAATAATTCATATAACATTTAAGGCCCAAAGAAAGACCTGCAATAGGCATATTTAGCGCTTACATAATGCATATTTAAACTCTAAATTAAACATAAAATGTATCATTTTGGTAAGTTGTGTATCAGTTTGTTAAACTAAGCATCGAAATGAAATGAAATGAAATGCGGTTTAACGTCCTACTGTTCTGCTCCTATACTGGGCTAATGAAGACGGGCATACGCCATACAGTGTGCTATGAGGGAAATTTTACCCGGGCAGCGGCACTATCGCCTACTCTTATATCGAATTCCAACTGCCAAGGGATCTTTTACGTGCATTCCAATGTTTACACGGGACCTCGGTTTTTCGTCTCATCCGAAGGACTAGACAGCTGTCCTTGTCAGGCCCTCCGTCCTGCATCACTGACAAGGGGAAACCACGTCGGAAAATCGGGATGAACTTCCTCGGCCAATGCAGGGATCGAACACCCGACCTCCAGGCTAGCGAGCCAGCGCCGTACCCACTTAGCCAAGGTGGCTCCAAACTAAGCATCACCCAGTTAAACTGTATATCACTATCATTCGGATAAGTTATAATATAACATGTTCTTAAACTATGTATCATTTTGTTAAACTATATATCAGTTTATGAAAGTATGTACCGCG